CACACACACACACACACACACACACGGGCCCCCCATCAGTCAGGATAGACCCACTTGCGTACGTACACACACACACACACACACACACACACAGCTCTGTGAGAGGCCCTGGGTCCAACGGGGCCCCAACCACAGCCCCTAGAGGGCAAGCCTCTCCCACCTCTAGGCAGCCTCCACCCGGGACCTAGCCCCCATTGAGTCACCGAGCACCCGCCCCGTAGGGGAGCAGCTCTGGGTTCGTGAGAGACGGTGCTCACGTACAGGGCTGGTGGGAGATGGGGGACTCAGCTCACACAGGGCCGTAAGGGCACCAGGCGTCTCCAGTCTCCTTTGATGCTGATGTCCGTGGGCTCACGGGCATGAGGCAGCGAAGGCAGAGCTGGGGCAGCCTGCTCCAGCGGGCAGCGCTCCTCCAGCGTGGAGAGTAGGGACTCCTGGCACTCCTCTGGGCAGGCGCACCAAGATAAGATCAAGGCGTCCTAATGACCTTGTTGTTTCCGTTAGCCCAGCTCTCCCCACCCTATAGGTCACTGCGTGAGCCAGGCTGTGGGGCAGTCAGGGGCCACCAGGAGCCCAAGGCTTGGAGACAAGAGTGGAACACGGCTAAGAGCGCCCCACGGGGCTCCCATGGCCCAGGAAGCGGGCGAGCCGGGCGGCTGTGAGGGGCTGAGTTAAACCAGCAGGAGAGGCTGAGGATAAGAAACAGCTAGTTCCACGCTGCTCCCTGGGAGCCAGCACAGGCGTCAGCAGATGTGCGAGAGCTTCCCCACGTCGTCTGTGAGTGGGACACAGGGCTCTCTGCTCCTGTCATTCACAGCGGGGCCGTGGAAGGTTGTGACAAGTTGGACCGGCTCGGTGCCACTGGGTCTGGGCGTGGCCAGAGGCTGTGACCATCACAGGTGTGTCACAGGGCAATGTACACAGTTCAGAGGCCACCGGATCTCAGCAGTCCTGGTCAACCGGCCAGGCCAGGCCTCCTGGTCTGACTTGGGCCCAGAGTGACCCACAAGCAGAAGGCATGGAAGGGTCACTTCACTGAGCACCAGGCCACCTGCTTCCGGGCAGCCCCACATCTGCACATTCCCAGAGGGTGGCCGGATGCCCATCTCCCTCACTGAGGACACCATGTTGGGGTGGGGGACATGGACCTTCCAGATGGGGGTCTGGCACGGGGGAGCCGAATGGTTAGCTGAGTACCAGAGCCAGGCATGCCCGAGGGCACCTGCCCACTGGGTTCTAGCTGCCAGGCAGGTGGTCCAAGCTTCGCCCTCAACCCTCCAAACAAGCAGCACAACCCTGCCTATTCATACACATGCCACAGACACACACGTGTACATGCATGCCAGGATCATACATACACATACACACATGCCCACTCAGGTGACGCACATGCATCACTCACACACAGCCACATGCATATGCCCACATCATATATGTATACATGCACACACATGCCCACTCACTCACACACACCATATCCACATACATGGGCACATACTCACACCAAACATGCACACACACGTACACATGTCCCCTCACACACGAACACACCATGTCCATTTACACAGGCACATGTACATGCTCACACCCACACTCATACGCCCTGTTTCCAGAAGCACTGACATCAAGCGCCAGGTGGGTGGGTTCCCAGGCAGCGGCGGCAGCACATGGACACAAGGGGCAAACAAGGGTCGGCGCGTGCAGGGGACAGAAACCTTCCAAGGTGGACTAGGTGATGGGCTAGCGAAGCCTCCTGCCCCACGGCGCGGGTCCCTTCAGAGAGCATGGCTCTGCGCAGCGGTGCCTCACACCATGGACCGACCTTCTGTGCTTGGCCAGCGTCACCGCGTTCTTTGCATGGACTTCCGAAGCTCCACAAGGAGCCACTCCAGGACAGCGGTGCTGCCCGCGCCTGTGCCAGGGAGGCCCGCTGAGAACAGCCGCCTCACGGGCAGTGTGTGCCCAACACGAGAGGTCCACCTGCCCTCACACAGCTGTTCCCACTGCCCCCAGGACCCCGCTCACGGTGAGCATGCCTTGTGACAGGTCCTGGACTCAGACACGGGTCCCCCGCCTCCCCGGCTACTGTCATGTGTATATTTGGGCAAAAGAGAGGTCCTCCCCAGTTAGTAGGCGTGTCCTCCTGAGAGGAGACAAGCAGGCCGCTGGTGTGTCTGTCGCTACAGGGACCAGCTGAGTAGCCAGTCCAAACTGGACACTGTTTGTGCACTCCCAGTGGGGGGTGGCCGGTGCCTGGGAAAGGCGCCTTCAAAGCAGCTCTGTTTTTCCAGCTGGGGCCGCTCTGCCTGGGAAACTGCAGGCCGCAGCCAGACCACACTGACCAGACGCCACAGCACGCCACGGGGGCTGCCCACCGGGCGGGGTCTGGGCTCCATACTGGACAAGCCTTGGGTGGGGGTGGCGCGAGCAGCCAGGGGACGGACGATGTGCCCGATGGACAGATGTCGGCAGATGTTGTCATTGCTCTAACGAAATAAACGCGGCCAGCCACTGCACCCTGCACTCACTGGCACCGTCCTCAGGGCCAACGGCAGGTGGAGACCAGCATGGTCCAGCCGCGGATGCTGGGAGCCGCCTCGCCTTGCTGGTCAGGACCACAATCACCAGGCCAAACAAGGGATCATATACCCAGCCCTGTCACCAGGCCACAGGGGACGAGCCACGAGGAGGAGGTGAAAGCAGGAGCTGGCCCGGCACCCCCCTCGACTCGCCCCACTCCCCCCAAGCCAATGTCAGCTGAGCTTAAATATCCAATCTCTGTCACAACTGATCATTTCAAGACGGGCTGCAGGGCACCCTCCTAGACTGCTGAGAGAGAGGTGGGCCAGGGTCCTGGTCTGCCTTCCTTGGTGCCCAGCTCCAGGGCCTGTGTGTTGGCAGAACTCACTGGGACCTCAGAGCGTGGCTGCCAGGCCTTGTTCACGCGGCACCGGTGGGCGGACGAGACCCTCCAGCCTGTCCTCAGCAGCCAAGCGAGGCCACCGTTTTTTGCCACCATGGGACTCCCCGCCACGCAGCCACGGCCTGTGACGACATCCTGCCGCTGGACTGGCTGCAGGGCAGCGCTGGGCCCGAGGAAGGGCATTGGAGCTCAGAGACGCCCGGACAGCCGGGGACTCAGGGGGACTTGGGCAACAGGGTCAGCGTGTTGGCATCACTCCGTAAATCACCGTGGGAGAGCTGTCTGGGAAACCGGCAGGTGTGCTTAAAGTGTACCAACAGCTGGCCCTCCCCCGAGCTCCCACCATGGGTCTGGTTTACTCTGAGAAAGAGACAAAACCAGAATTGCTTTGAAAATCGAAACCAAGAATGGTATCCACAGCGGCCCTCTCCGCTCAGATCCAGGCTGAAAGGTGGAGGGAGCACCGAGGAGGAGAGAAGTGGCCACGGAAAGGCAGGGGGCCGGAGGGGGTTTCCTTTTTACTACTCAGAGCTGTTTCTCAGGCACGAGTCTGAACCAGAGCTTTCCAGGCGCACTGAGGGTGCCAGCCATTGGGGACCGCCTCGCCAACTGCAGGGCTCCATCTTCCCCACCTTCCGGAGGTCAGGTCCAGCCCCCCATAGCCCCTCAGGGCCAGATGCACAGGCCAGCCTGGATGTGGCCCCCGGCCTGTTCAGGATGAACTGGGAGAACTTGCCGCTCTCTCCCCTAGATCGAGCGCATGGGACCCTAAAGTGGTGGTGCCCCTGAATCTAATTCTTCCATTTCTCCCTT